AACGATCAAAAATTTAAAAAATTAATGGTGAACAAACCTTATGACTTAGGGATATGAAAAATAGATTTTGTCCGATTCTCAGACCAACTCAATATGCTCACAAAATTTCATCAAAATCGGTCCAGCCGTTTCGGAGGAGTTCTCTGTCTAACACCGCGACAGGAGAATTTTATATATAAGATGTTACGATTATATATTTTTCATACGCCAAAGATTAAATTGAATATAAGCACGGTGTGACGTAATAAAAATCCTAACGCAATATTACCAGGGCTATAGACGGTGGGATTTGAGATTATTTTGTGGTTCTTTTTATCATATAAGATAAGAAGAAAAGGTTTAAACCGTCTGTCCCGTTTCCTTTTTGACCTGATCTAAATTAATATCCCGTTTCTTTGTATCCGAAGGGCCTTTTTTCCAATTTCTCTCTCAGTGCCAGCCGACATTACCAAAGCTACGTATTTAACAAATAGCATGACGATCCGTCAATCCCTTTTGGTTCTCTGTGTAACAGTCAATCAGGGGAGGCTTTTTTATTTTATATGTCGTCGATTTATTTAGTAATGGAATCCGTGATAAACTAACCTCGGATATTGTACAGAAATCCTTAGCTCTTTAACATTGGAGAACATTGTATTATGTATCCGAATCTTGGATTCCGTCTGTGGTAATAAATTCATGCTTATTATATATAAGTTAGAGATAATTTGTTTTTCATAATTTCTAATAAAATCACACTACATAGAAGTAATATTTAAAATATTAGAAATTGATTTGCATATTCTGTGGTATCTCAAAAATAGTTATGGCAAGACTAAAGATTAAATAAAAACCCTGCAATATTTTTAGGTATATTGGAAAGTTAACTTCACTTGATTAAAACTTATTGATCGCTGACAGAAATAGAATTATCATTCTTTTTAATATTATTCTTCTTTAATACTTATTTTTAAATGTACTACGTATATTGTATAAAATGAGATTATATTTTGGTCAGTTCAATACCAAATATCGGTCCGATTGGAGTGGTCAGATCTAAAATGTATACACTTTGTGCTCAATGGTCGGTAAATGATAAGCGAAACCAAAGCTGTCTCATCTTCCCTTTATGGAAACAAGAAGTAAACTACACTATCTAGACTATTATACCGCCAACTATTTTCTTCATTTGTAAACGATAACTACTAGACTTAGAACTACAGTCTGCACAATTATTAAATAGAATTATATATATTAAAATGATTATTAATGCATATAGAACGTAACCAATTATATTTATTTTTATATATAAAGAGAATGTGTATGTTTTAATTGTATTTAAAACTGTTTTTATTTTTATTTATATAACACCGAGCTCGATCGCTAATGGTACATATTAAATGGAATGCATTAAACACTCAAATACGTAGCGTGAGATCGTTTAAAATCTACATATCTTTTTATGTTTTATTTACTGGCATCGTTAAAACTTTCTTTTCATATAAATATGATGTTATATTAAAGTTTTATTCAAGTATCTATCAAAATATATTTATGCAGAATCCGACAACTTGTCTCTGAAGCAAAACTTCCAGCCAGTTGCAATAAGTCTGAACGTTTTAGATTCTTTTTCTTTCGTTTCCATACATCGTGTCCTTAAAACTTCAGATGGATCTTACGTGTTCTGATGCTGTTCAAGCGTTTATTTGTTTGAAGTTTAATGTTATGTAAGCATAATACAAATATTATTTTTATATGCTGTATCATGTAAATAATATTTTCATTATGCTTTACGAATACAAGTCTATAAAGCATAATGAAATTTATTTTCTTTCTGCTTTATATAGATATAAAGAAAATAAAAGAAACGTAAGTCGTATTATAATATATTTTTTATTTTATGCTGGTCTTCATAGTGATTCCATAAATAAATGTATTTTATCCTATCATTGTTATAAAATTTCTCTTTAACGTAAAATAATGTATAAAATTTTAATTACATGATAAAGATTTTACAACGAATGTGAGTATGTTAAAACTTATCACGTCTACTTTAAAATATATTCTAAGATATTGAAGTTAAACGAAAAACGATTTCAATCAATAGGTTCTAGTTAAATATTTCAGGTTATGGTTTGACCGCCGAGTTAAAATTTCATCTAGACTTCTTTTCATAATCTCCATTTAAAATACTAATAAGGTTCAAAAGAATAAGGTAGTATATTTAACCTAACGATGTCGTTGCCATGACAACGGTAAACCAAAACTAATATTAAGTCGAGGTAATTTTGTCGCATCAATATTTTAGTTATTAAAAGTTAAATATGTATTCATAGTATTTAATTACACTTAGGTGTTAATACAAACAATATTAAAAAAGGTAACATTAGGCTATAAAAAAGGAAATAACGGCAAAGCTTAATGGTTACCGTGGTCCTATTAAGACACGTTTCAGCAATTAAATACCAATTCACTTAAAATGAGGGTAGACAGAAAAATAAATATACGTCTATTTATTCACTCAACCTATTCTTACAGACGTATTATATAAAACATACTTATTTAAAAGTTTAAATAATGAAATATGATTTAAAATATTTTACGTCGTTAAAATATTGAAAGTTTATTTAAAATAAATAAAGTTTTATATAGTTTCATATAGATCACATATGAAGAATGAAGAATCAAACGAATTCTTGTGAATTTATGTTATATAATATATAGTATCAGTCTCATGTATGTAAATGTTTATTATAATATTAATATATAAGTAACTTCCACGATATTAATAGTTTAAAATAATCCATTTGGACGTTCTAATTGCATACTAAAGGCAGCTATTTTTAATCCAGTAATAATTTCACTTACAATGATTTATTTTATAAGTATATAAATACTTATCGATGTTTTCTAAACCTCAAGTCGTTTTTGATATAAAATATTCAAAGTGAAGACATTTCTGTAACATTCAATTGTTAGAACTGCGTCTAGGAAGACTGTGACCTACTAAGGTAATTGTTGGAAGAGGTTAAGGAAGGTAGTTTGTTAAATCGCAAGCTTTTTGTCTTTATTATTGTCTCGATTTTTAGCTGAAAAAGACGTGTTCGTGTTTTATTTTATATATGAAACTTTTAGTGAAAATATTACGTATTTTCATTTATTTATATTGTTACTGAATATTATTTTATTTGTTCATATATTATTTGCTGTATAAAAAGTACTAGTTGGAATATTATACTAAAAGGGTGTCCTCAATTATGATAAAATTTTCATTTTTTGTTTTTACAAAAAGTGAAAGACGAGGAGGTTTGCAAACAATACAGCCATTTGCAAATGAAACACTTACTTAAGATGTCGGAGCGCTCTCTTCTTGAGAATAATGTTCCATTTTCCATCTAGTTTTCTTTTTTCCAACTAATGTTTGAGGTCAGGTTATGATTGAACATCACCTATATTCACACAAAGGAAGGTTCGTCTTGCTTTCTTTTACGAGAGTTGCATAATATTTTCTCTAGCCTTACCCAAAAACCATAGCATTGAAACATGTAATAGGCGAGTATTAAAAGCAGTTTCTATACGATGTTCCATTAAATCCGCCTGCATGATGCAGTAATACCGTTATATCCCCAGGATCTTAGACTTACGTCGCACGAAGCTTTAAAAATTCATGCCGCTGACGACATTAATAAATCTCAACAGGGAAATTTTAACCTTATTCTTTTATGGCAAAAGACATATTTCTGCGCAAACATCGTAATTTGTTGATTTCGCGATAGTCTGTGTAACTTACATTGAGAACTTCTTTTCTGTATATCAATTTCTGTATATCCCAATCAATTAATCCTTTAACCATCTCTGATAAAAACAATGATACGTTTCTTGTATATAAAGTGTTCTAATTATATTTAATTACACACTTCCAATTAATGTATTCGCCTTTAATGCATGTAACACAACCGTCTCAAAGGACCAATACTCTATAGTCCCTAGAGCGGTAGAATCAATATGTCGGAGCGGGCGTAGCCGCATGTATAAATAATGTACTAGTAGGAAGATTTACTTTGATTTCATCTCTTAAGGCGTTTGTTTGATCTCTGATGGAATTTCAATGAGAGAATTCACTTGTGACGAGAATATAGCTTGTGGAAATAAGCAATCTCGTTCGATTAATTAACAAATTTTTCACCAACCCTACGTTTTTATACCTTTGACCTTTTGTGAGCAGCAAATCGTATTTTTGATCCATTTCGATGTTTCTTTTTTTTTTGGGCGGTGCGGTTTTGAACCTAAAAGCAATCAAGGCATCATATATTGGATCCCGGAGTTCATTTCTACCTGTGAAATCGTGTGTATCGACCCGTGTTTACTTATTTGCTTTGAAAATTTTACAAAATAAATAATGGTATCCATATAATTCACTCCAGTCTTTGGTTATATAAAGTGATATATTACAAAAGTTTTTATAAATTACATTCCACAGAAACACTCGACTGTTTGAAATAAAACTTTCCTCTCGTGAGCCGGAGTCCATTAGATCAGTGTCACTCTCATTTGTGCGTGAAGAAGAAGTATCATTTTGTGAACTGAATTAATAATAAATAATGTCACTCCAACTTACATATTTCTTTAGTGGAAAATTAAAACAATTTTTGCATCAAAAAACTCTTTGTACACTGCACTTAACTCGCGTCCTACAATCATTGACGCAAACAATGTGAGTGCCTTTATAAAGTATTCAAGAAACGTCGCCTCATAAAATGGTTTCTCGCTGTCAACCTTGTTTTAAAAATTTACGATTCAGATAAAGCGAGTATGAGACCTTTTTTGTTGTCCTTTTTTGTATTCAGCAATTTCAATACAAAAAACTTGATTCCAGACACAATCTGATTGTATAACAGAGAGGTAATTTGTATATAATTGCAGTATGTATATACAGTATATAGTATCGAATGTGTTATTACATTTTTTCTTACGATAAAAGAAGAGGAAAATAAAACAGCGTCAAGCGTACGTAATAAGTTATGAATGATATAGCTAAACATGTGCCCAACCGAGTCACGAGGGGTAATAAAAATTTGTCAGTCCCACATCGGGAGCCATTTTTTTATTGCTAACTTCTTATCAAGTCTATATGATTAATGTTTCTGAATTTCAATATTCCTTCTTATATTTTATAAACGTAGTATTTGAATAGTACTGTTCTTTGACTTCAAATCTATTTGAGCACAAATGAAAGGTAGTTTTGAAAACGTGAAGCGAAAATTATTTAAATGCATGTTCATCTTTCGTAAACACTGTTCCTTTTATTAAAATACAGTGTTGTGTCTTTGTGATAAAAATGATTCTTTGTTCTTTGAAGTTCTTTTTATATCGAAATATTCAACTGTAGCTACTAGTTTTAACACATTTTTGTATATTTTTTGAACTTTTGTATTGTATACGAATTAATTAACTTTGATCAATATAATAAGTTTGTATTGCTGTATGTATCAAATTGAAAATGTATTAAAATTTAAAATACATAAGTAATTAACCCAGATACTTAATAAGCTGTACTATTAATTTTTTAGTTCACAACAGCTCATTTCGTACACGTGTATGCTTTTTGAATGAGAGGTTCAACGAAATCGCTAACATGGCTCATAATAAACAATTCATACGGAAAATATGACACAATTAAAAACATTCTGACTGAAACGTATACAGGGAAGTAATTAAAAGCTCCAACAATTTTAATATCGTGTCAAACAAGCAACAAATAACTCTGTATAATAACAGAATATTACAAAATGAAAGCGTTCAGAATATTTACACGTACCAAAAATTCCAATATACAGCGTTATCAAATAGGGAATCTTATCTTATAATAAAGTTCAGTGATCTACTATCATCCTTAAAGAAATAGGATTGAGACGACATGTAATAAATAATAGCAACATTCTTGCTAAACTTCAAGGGAAGGCTATCTTATCAGAAATGTTAACCGAGATATCCTTGTTTCCTTCAGCCCTCCCCTTGTAAACAATCCCTTCCATCTGTCACCCCTCGTTAAATCAACTGGTCAATTTTACGATACCGTTTCCTTCATTTCATGTTTTGCCTACGAAGTCTTTTGGTGTACCGATTTTTACGTGACATTCTGATTTGATCTAGTCTATAAAGATCGTGTAGGTTTTCCTTCATCCCTACTAATATTATAAATACGAAAGTAACTCTGTCTGTCTGTTAAGCTTTCACGCCTAAACCACTGAATTGATTTTAATGAAATTTGGCACGGAGATAGAGTTGACCTTGAGAAAGAACAGCATAGTTTTTATCCCAGACTTTTGAAAGGTTTTCTTGCAAACGCAATATAACCAAACTCCACGCGGACGAAGCTGCGGGCGGAAAGCTAGTATACAATAGTTAAAATGTACGCAATTATTCAGTGCATATTAAATAAAGTCCGTCCATGCTTTTGATACTTTTAATGTCCGAACTCATTACGTTTAAAAGTTGCTGATATTTTATTCAGTTTTAATAAACCCGTGTTCGGTACGTTTGTAATCAATATCGTCGCTTCTCATTAAAAGCAACGTTAAAGTTTAAATTTGTTGCAAACCATCAAATAGCTCGTTACCTTACCTTCACAGTTTGCTAGCGGGAACCCAGATCGTCCGGGCGTGGTTGCTCCTATTAACTTTACCGACGGAATTCTAAAAGAGAAGAATTTTATTTGTACGTTTCTATTACATTTGTGATTTTATTCATTTGAACAGCATCTCAGAAAGATCTTAAAGACATCTTAATGGCGTTGATAGTCAAGATTTTTGTTTCTTAGTATATACAATATAAGTAATTTAAAAGTAATATATTATTATTGCTTCTAGTATGTCCAATGCATCTTAAAATACAGTCCAGGTTCAAACGAATTCACTGTAAATTCAATTTCTCGTAGTCCTCAAGTCTCCTGGTTATTCAATTTCTAAACCACAGTTAGTTTGTATGTAGTATTCGTATGAATTTTTGTTTGGATTGAACGAATTTGTGCCTAAACTTTTCTCATTTCGGTCTCTTATTTCTATCAGTAAGGATTGCGGTTTAGAAATGCTCTGTCGAAATTTGGGATCTGATTAGATAAACATATAATAAGTGATATGTATATCAAAATGATCGAGTTAATTTAAGAGAATAAATAAGCTACTAAATTACATCGTAATAATATATGGAAAAGTATAACGCGAGCATATATCTATACTCAATCTATACCAAAAAATCGTCAAACGCAGAAATCTTGTATAAAAAATCGTTGAACACCATAAAGGTAATAACTTGATAAATGCTAATTATCCCTGATATATAAAACGGATGAACCGCTTGAGGTCGTTGGCTCCAATCCAAATTACAGGAAGCTTGAGTCTGTGGTCCATTCATATTTCAACGACTGCATCTGTGCATAAATGTAGACTAAAGGCTTTGTAAGTAATGCAAGCTGTAATTAATACTGTCGCTCAGCATTGTCAAAATTTAAGCGAATATTATAATAGATTGAATAGTCTAGATATAAGTTGAGACAGAAATTTGTGAGAAGTGGAGGTAATATAAGATGATGATGGTCTTAAATTCTCTATTTAGGAAATATTATTTGTAAAACAGAAGTACAAATATGATAATTTTTGTAATTTCTTCCTCAGTTGTCTAATACGAAAATTTTTTAGGTTTTCATATTTTAGATCACTCTAAATTCGCAAAGACTTTGATGATTCAGAATAATGATATACGTAACTTTAATACTCGTATATTTTTCTATTACATAATAGGTTACAATACATATACCCAATCAACAAACATACAAATTATAGTGTGTAAAATATACTATGAGGAGTATTAAATCGCTCTAATAATTCGTTTCTTGTTGCAGACATTCCCTATCTTGAGTTGGCTGAACCTGATGAAGGCTACCACGGTCTGATCCGAGAGAACGAGACCCTGGTGGAGGTGACTCCCGCTATCAGGGCCCGAGGACCTCTCTGCTCCTTCCTCATACTGAACAACAAACATCATGGGGAAGCTCCCTTCGAGGTATGGAATAATTACACACATGAGAACATAAAACAATGAGCAGATATTCTTTACACCAAACCCAGCACAGATATCTTTTAAACCAAACCCAGCACTGACATTTTTTAACCCAAACTCAGCACACATATATAAATTTTCCAAAATCTCTCATAATGCAGTTCAATGGATCGATTAATACAACGTATACTTAATTACGAGTATAACACAAGGAAAAGCGTATATAAATAGACTAGCTTTCCGCCCGCAGCTTCGCCGCGTGGAGTTCGGTTATATCGCGTTTCCAAGAGAACCTTTCAAAAGTCTGGGATAAAAACTATCCTATGTTCTTTCTCAAGGTCAACACTATCTCTGTACCGAATTTCATTAAAATCAGTTCAGTGGTTTAGGCGTGAAAGCGTAGCAGACAGACAGACAGACAGACAGACAGAGTTACTTTCGCATTTATAATATTAGTAGGGATAAATCGGCTTTGTTTCTCTCGTATAATTATTACAATAATTTTAAACAGGCTAGGTTAAAGACCGAAATAGTATTATGCGACTTGGTATTCTATAGTTGAAATTTTAAAGCATCTTGGTATAAAAATAATTGATTGATACATTATAAATAAAGCCGATTTAATTGAAATATCAATAATAATAATGGTGTGGAAACCAAGATTTGTCTTATTTACCATATGCGATGAAACTTCTCATCATTCAATGTATTCACCGTGCGTGTGTCGGGTCCATCGTTGCAGAGAGAGGAGCTTCAACAGTGCCTGGGACTTGTGACCCAGGTGTAGGTTTAAGAGTCCCTGTGTAAAGCACGTTAAATGCTAACATGTTCTTGTAATAGCCGGTACATAGTCTCAACGTTTTCATTAAGGAAACTTGGCAGTGTATTCCTAGGCATTTTGATTTGGTAACCTGCCAACAGGTCGTTCTACACGCTTGTAACAAGCCGTCATTAAACCGTATGTGATCACTTAATACTAACTGATGTAGAATACAAACATATAATCTTCATTTAGTACAATTTTTGTTGGCTCTATTCAATTAAAATATTTCAAACTTCCCCATTCAAATAAAACGTTTCATAATTTATAAGTGTGTTATTCGTGTATGAAATAATAATTAGTTAAATAACCTATCTAGCTAGCCAATAGATGATTAGTATCTAATATTTTTTCTAAAAAAACATTAAGTGTATGTATTTCTTCGATTAGAAACAAAATTGAAAAATCTATTTTTTATATACAATATTACATTCTCAAGTGACTCCTTTATGCTTAAGTAAATGGCTTATGAATTAAACTTTGAATGCTGATATATAAAAACAGCGCTTTAATGTGAAGAGAGAACAAGAGAAAATAAATATTATAAAAAAATTGTAAAAAATATTCCTTCGAGCCGGATTTGAACCAGCGACCTATGGATATCAGTGTCAATACGTCTACAGTCCACCGCTCTACCAACTGAGCTATCGAAGGTTGATAAAGCTAAACGAAATTGTAGACACATCTTTACTTTGCATAATAGTCTATCTCTTTAGATAATATTATATTTGTTATTTCTATTTATAAACAACTCCTTCCATTTATTATTATCATTGACGTCATAAAGAGAAACTTTAATGTCAAGAGATACAATGAAAAACGATACAATTCACTCCACAATAAGCGAACTAGGCTAACTAGTGCACCCCGGAGGGAAATATATCCGACGATTCACAAGTATTTTTCATAAATTCAAGTAGTTCAACAAAAATTTCAAGCGAAACACGACCTTATTACAATAGAAATACGTTAAAATTTCTCATAATACTCATTTAATTTTCCCTATTGGAATGCATGCCAAACTTTCGGAAATGTATCGAATAACATCTCTTTGTAGTTTTCCAATTTACTTTTTAAGTTTTTCAAAACTTTTCTCTATGACAAATTGTGTACCGCTGATATTGGTTGTATTTAAGAAACCTTTATCTTAATTATATAATATTATTTCATGATAAGAAAAAATTTATCAATGGGTGCGTATGTGTGTGTACTTGATTATATGTGTAAGTGTGTGTGTGTGTTTACATATTTCGAAGTAGCCGTAATAAAATTGTTTACTTTACCTTTAATAAATATTGAGACCGAAACCTCAATACTATCAATTGAATTCTTATTTAGTGTTTTTGTAAATTAATTTTTTATTATAATTTTATCACCCGTCGATGTATTTTATATAAAAAATTATATACATAAATTGCTATTAAAACGCTACTACCAAACCAGTTTCAACTAGTATAGAGCTCATTAACTTGTAAGTTATAACTCGATTCGTAATTATGTACGTCGCTGAACTTGCATCAAAGTTAGTTAACTTGTATATAATATCGTTTACCGAGTAAAAAGTTATCTTATTGACGTGACGTCAAATAACTTGTAACTCGGTGTAACTTAACTCGGAAGTTCGAGTTAATGATGTTATGATACAAGGCAGATGAGATTTTACAGACTAAGCCAATTATATGATAATTGTTTGTTGAGCATAGATATATGTATATCTATATAGATATACAGGGTGACTGGTGAATTACTATCAATATTTAAGGAGCATACTCGGTACATCATTCTCATTCGAATTATGTAAAAAAAATAGGTACTTAATTTTTGACCAAATTTCCGTATAAATAAATAAAGTGTGGACACGTTCCAAGTTTTCCAAGTGTGGACGTTTGTGTGTGTGTGTGTACGTATACCTTTTCTTTTTTTTTTTTTTTTTCTACGAGGGGAATCTTTTAAAGACTTCCTGCCGCGGGGGAAACGCGACAGGGGCATGTGGGATTTCCACCCACTAAACCACCTCGACGTTCTCTGCGCTGTGCGTAGACTAGTGAGCGGGAACGGCAAGCCATACTTCCGCTCACTACGCACGAGTCCCGAAAGGGACTCCGCCATCGGCAGGGGTATCAGTGGCTGACCACACCACCCCTCCGACTCAAGAGCAGCGTGCCGGGAACGCCAAACACGCCGCTCTTCCTCTAGCCTATGTTACCCGGACGCCGGTTCCCCACCGACGCCCGGAGGCTCCTCACTGGGGAGGCAGGTCGCGGGCATATGCCCGCTGCATAAGCACAGTACATACTTCATATGCATTCATAAAAAAGCATTTTTCCAAAAATTACATACATATACACCTAAGTCTGTTTTTACACGGTCTTTTTGTACACGGTTTTGATATAACACGGTTTGAAAATTGAATATTTTTAATTTTTTTACACGATTTTATTCCATTTAGCACGATTTGAAATTTTATGTACTTAAATTTTTTTTGTCAAATTTAATTTTTGCGAAGTATGTTCATATCACAAAAAAGTATTTATGAAAGAAAAAAGTCTGAAACCATCGATAGTATCGATAGTTTGCGAACACTAGCTTAAAGATTTAAGTGAATAGCTTAAAGATTTAAGTGAATTCCCCTTTAGCGCGTACAAACAATTTTTACTGGTCAAAGCAAATGTGAATAGCACTAATTTAGGGGAATTCCCTTTATGACACAGTTTTTTAGTTCCTGAACTTGCCAAACATTTAATTTATATTACTTTTAAGATTAGAGTGCATATCTTTTTTATCATTAATTACTATGCTTGTGAAAATAAGCATTATATATTTGATTTAATAAAATAAACATGAATTCTTGTTCTTAAAAATTCTTGTTTTTCACTAATTTTAATAGGTTTTAGAGATTAGGAACAAATCACCCATTTTTGTATAAGATCAATGTCTTTTTTTACACGTTTTTTTTCCACAGCTTCTTCTGGAACCAATCTACCGTGTAAAAACAGACTTAGGTGTACTACCAAATTTTCTTTGTTTTTATAGATAATGTCTTACTTTCTGTTTCATAATCTTCAATTAAGTAGATTCATTATTAAATTATAAAACTGTTATACATAACATACAGGTGAATTACTATCAATATTTTAGGAGAATACTCGGTACATGATTCTCATTCGAATTATGTAAAAAAAAATAGGTACTTAATTTTTGACCAAATTTCCGTATAAATAAATAAAGTGTTGACACGTTCCAAGTGTAGTGTTGTATCAGCACGCCGCCGCACGCGTATGTGTGTGTGAGTGTATACCTAATCTGTAGGGTGTTGACACGATGCGTAATTAATTACATAACTTTTGGTTAACTTTACTTAGAAGTTTATTAATATTTATGTTATATTAATTTTTATTTTGTCATATATGATCGTCAAATATCACGTCCTCAACGTCCTCAAGTATCGATAGTAATTCACCAGTCACCCTGTATATGTAGATATAAATACATGTATATTTAAAGAAGATTATTACTATAATATAGTATGTCTATTTTTCCTGAATGTTTATGTTTTAAAACTCTTGCATCTTTGTAATTGTTTTACAATTATTCTTTCAGAGTAAGCTAGACACATTGTGTCTTAATTACTTTTATCTAATTAATTATAATGCTTATCTAAAGAGGATTTTGATAAATAAGACTTCCAACTAAGAATATTATTTTATTTAACATCAGTCTCTACTAAAAACTAGGTTATTCATTTGGTAGGTATTTTAAGCTTACGCATCAAAACCAAAAACTAGGTATAAATTGAGTGAAAATGGTGTGAATATAATTAAAGGACGTAAATAAGAAAACTTTAGATTTAGTGAAAAATTTATTTTGAACTTTTATATGGTTTTAATCCATATTTTATAGAAAATAAAATTAAATTTTTAGCTAGCAGCAGAGAGTAATATAATTTTAGATGTCCGCAGTCGGTTTTATTGATAAAAATGAAACTGGCGCAGCGAGGTGGTACCAGCCAGTGACAGGCCTCTCAATAATTTAAAAATACAATATATATAATATACTAGCATTCCGCCCCCAGCTTCATCCGCGTGCAGTTCGGTTATATCGCGTTTCCAAGAGAACCTTTCAAAAGTCTGGGATAAAAACTATCCTATGTTCTTTCTCAAGGTTAACTACATCGATGTACCAAATTTCATTAAAATCAGTTCAGTGGTTTAGACGTGAAAACGTAAAAACAGACAGACAGACAGAGTTACTGTCGCATTTATAATATTAATAGGGATTGCATATTAAAAAAATCTCATATAACAAAGAAATAATTATCTTAACATAATTTTATATAATACGCCTACATAGTATAAATTTCTTTCTGTTCATAATATATATCCTAAAAGTTAAATATTAAATTAGTTGAACTTGGTTATTTTTATCTATTTATTGAATTATCATACAAACATTTTATATTCATAAACAATTTATATTGACAAAGCTGTAATAGTAACACATAGATTTCAAGCTCAAATAATTTTCATAGTTTAAATATATTTAATTACTGGAAAATTATTAAACATAGCTGTTAAATACATTTTTGATTATTGATAAAATTATCAGAATTTCGTTTTTGGAGGAAAGAAATTTAGAAGCACGAGCAATACAAAAATTATTGTAAAATCTTAAATTTACACAGAATAAAGTACAAATAGCAAGTGTCTAAGAAATGTTTTTTTTTCTTATTTCTTTCTCTCTATCTCTCTCTCTTTCTCTCTCTCTCTCTCTCTTTCTCTCTCTCTTTCTCTCTCTCTCTCTCTTATATTTAAAATAATCGTTATATTTATTTCAGATTATGGTGATCGACGACAACGAGGCTCGTCTCCGCGTACGGTACCCACTTAACTGTGAGAAACGTCGCAATTACAAGTTCGACATCGCTGCTGTTGGCTGTGATGGTTCTTACTCCAACACGTGAGTATTTTCACTATAGCCTAGTGAACCAGCATTTAGATCTCTGTTTCCATAGATCTGATTGAATTATCCAGGTCAATTATAGTTGGTCAAGTTAAGATGAAATAACTGCTAGAAGATATTGAACCTAATCCCCCTATAATACTTCATATTTCCCAATGAATTGTTTTTAGTTTTATCTGTACGGATTAGTATAATGTAAGAAATCCAGCAGTAACATGGATATTTTGATAGTTTATAATATTCCCAGATATGTCAAATTTAAAACTAAGGATAGTCAGAAAAATGATATACAATTTCGTTGATGACGGAACTCGGAAGTTGCCAAATGAAAGCTATTTTAGTTTCATTTTTTAGGGAGTGCTTTTTTGGCTACCAAAAACACACACACGTTTTTATGTAAATTAAAAGTAAAATGGTATGAATAACTCCAGATGAAATGATAAAGTATGAAAGTGATGATGAAGTAATGATTCTTAAGATTGTATTAATTCCTATCGCTTGTGACGTAATTATGTTGTAAATAGTACAAAGAGAAATTGAGTAACTATTGTTACTACTGAATTGACGTCACTAAAAGATAAATTTGGTCTCATATTGTATTTTTTACGGGCTGGAATAGTATGGCTATATGAAGTTGAAGTTTTAGTTAATAATCCAACAGGTCAATATGAAAATGATAAGAATTAGTAGCCATTAAGTTTGACAATATTATTTTGTACCAAAAATATATATAGCAAATCTAAAGGGTTTAATGCGTTTTCTTCCCAAGTGTACCGGTCCATATAACTGTGACGGATGTGAACGAATTCGCTCCGGTCTTCAATCAGGCTGCCTACGTACGGTCCGTGGATGAGGGAAAAGTGTATGATGAGATCGTACGTGTGGAGGCGACTGATCGTGACTGTACCCCGCGCTATGGAGACGTCTGCAAGTACGAAATTGTTAACGACGGAGACAGGAGCCAACCGTTTGCTATCGACAATGAAGGTAGTTTGATATTCCATTGTACTGTCAAACTTATACACAAAAGCTTTTAAATCATTCCAAAGTTCTTTTCCGAAATAACTTTATTTCGGACGTTTCCAGCTGAATAGAAATTATTAATAAAATTAAGTAAGGAGTTGATGATTGAAATAAATTTTACATAGCTTTTACTTTAGTTAAATTTTTAATGAGTTTCGCAAACTTTAGACTTGATAAATATTTAATGATGTTATTGTAATGGCTGAATTAACTGGCTATTAATGAGGTTACTTAGCAAAGAAATATTTTTTACATTTATTCCAGGTGTTATTCGTAATACGGAACCCCTGGAATACGATAAATCCCACAACCATATTCTATCCGTGGTTGCATATGATTGTGGTATGATGCCATCCGCACCAGTTTTGGTCACTATCAAGGTCAACAAACCCTGCCGAGCTGGGTGGAAAGGTAAGCGTTGCATACCTTTTACAGATTTCGTTAAGGTATTTACGATGACAGTATTTTAAATGAAGTATTGACTATCTTCGTAGAAAAAGACCAAAGAAAATAAAATAATGTAGCCATGGGTTTAAAAGTCGTAAAAATAGGTAGTTGGGGATTGCAGAATTGTGTGGTTTTTTTTTTGCGACCTAGTATTAATTAATATATATATTATGTAAGAAAAAAATGTTACCAAGTACTATACTATCCTTATTCTTGATTGTCCTAAAGCCTATTTCGCAATGTAAGGTCAAACACACAACTTCATAAATGGTAAAAGAAAAAAACCTTAATTAAAAAAAAGAATTTTATTTATTTAGGGCTATTTACACGAAATTTATTCTGAACACAACATATTTCTAAGTCTATACTATGATTTGAACAACCAGGAATATCTAATCTCCTAAACCTCAATTTTCCAGGTCTTGCTGAGCGTGTTGACTACGCACCTGGAACAGGTCCGCTCGCACTATTTCCAGCTGCTCGTTTAGAAGCTTGTTCCAGCGATGAGCGATGTCCAGGTGTAACTAGGATCCAAGCAGCTGTAACTCTCCAGGCGTCAAGAGCCGGTGTTGCTTGTGATCGGGACACGTATACCTTACACGCGCAAAGGACAGTATGTGGTAGGTATTCTATTAAATGGACATTTATATCAACGTTTCCATACTACCCTCTATTATATATATAAAATTACCAAAAAAATTTTTAATCATTATGGTTACATATATGTTCTTGATTATCTAAATATTTAAAAGAGATTTCCACCTATATATTGACTCATCACGATATCTTTGGAACCATAAGGCGTAGCGACTTGAAATTTGGTTGGATTATTCCTTTCGCCGAGTAGAGGTCAGCTAAGAACGGATTTTACAAAATTCCACCCACAATAACCGAACTCCACACAGGCGAAGCTGCGGGCGGGAAGCTAGTATGATATATAAAAATATTTTGTCTCATTAATGTTTTTTTCTAAAGGTCTGGATCCCAAAACAGTGGATTTGCTACCCAGCCCCGGCGTAGGAAACGAATGGGCAAAATCTCTCAAACCCGACTCAGGTATGTATTAGTTATTGGACCAAAACTTAGTTTGTAAGTTTGGAAGGCAGCCCTATATTTGTTTTTTTTAAATACTTGGCCCTTAGACTTGGTCCGAGACTTTTTGTTTGCTTTACTCATTCATTCTAGTTCTCGCATGCTCGATGGCCTTTCATTCTTCATACTATATCTTTCTATTATACCTCTCTTTCATACCTAGGTTGTACCTTCTAATATGTGTACCTATCTATCTTATTATATTTATTTAGGGATTTTCGGGGAGTTTGGGGAGCTTAATATTCTAGTTACTTTGATTTCCTATACCATTTCAATTTACAGTTACAATTCCTATTTGTTTACATTTTATTCCCTACGTTTCAATATCTAACTTTACATTTACTTTTTAAACTCATTTACATTTTGCATTTATTTACAATTTTAGTTTTACCTTAATTTACATTTCAATTTTAGCTTTTATAGTGCTTTTTATTTAACTTGACATTTGTAACAATTTTACTTTTGCGGGTTCTTTACATTTACTTTGCTTTGTTACTTCTATTAATTCTTAGCCCTATAATGTTAGGTTATATAAATCATAATACATTGAGAAATAAACGCAAAAAAAAAAATTCATGATATGATAAATAATAGTGATCTATATAAGATATTATCAATTAATAGTAACACACATTAAAAAAAATGAATGATCTATAAAAAAAATATCTATAATATAAGGTATTGGCAATCAAGTGGATCGTATGTGATGAAATTTGAATGTGATGATATATATTTTTTTGATGATAAAGGTGATGATATTTCTGGATGATGATATTTATACGTGATTATATCCACCAGGTCGTGACGGCGAACAACTATTCGAGTTCGACGGCGAGACATCAGCTGTAGTACCCGAGTCTATACTACCTCATTCACTCGGAAGTACCTTCTCTGTGAGCACGTGGCTAAGACACGCTCCGCCTCCAGACCATGACAAACACCGCAAAGAACATGTACTTTGCCTGGCTGACGATCACAGTAAGTACACGCCTTTATAACTAGTTGCGCCCCGCGGTGTTACCCGCGGATTTCCGGGATGTAAAGTAGCCTATGTGCTATTCCTGGACGTCAGCTCCCTGTATACAAAATTTTATCAAAATCGCTTCAGCCCTTTGAGCGTGATGAAGTAACAAACATACACACACAAACTTTCGCTGTTATAATATAAGTAGGATAGTAATATAGTAGGATAATATCTATAATGTATGTCGTGGTGGCCTAGAGGTTAAAGGTCCGCCTATCGTGCATGAAGGCGCGGGTTCAAATCCTGGCAAGTACTGATGGGAATTTTTCCGAGTCATATGTACTTTCTAAAAGTATTTAGACACCACTGACAGACGTTGAAGGAAATCGTTCAAATTATAAGTTTGACATCGCCAATCCGTCTTGATCAAGCGTGGTTAGGGCTCTAACCTTCTCTATGTGAGAAGAGGCTTTTCCTAAGTTAACTGATAGGCTAATTATAATGGCAGATACTAATAATTCTCTCATTATGAATTTAAATTCTCTATACTGCTAATAAAAAATTATAATGATGTCACCTTTTTTTACTAATTTATGAATACTGATTACAACCAAACAACTAGAAAAAATTGTCCATCATATAAAAAACATAATTTAAAGGAGAAAACTAATTAGGTTTTCAGTGCCATAAAAATAATATTATAATATTTCCCATATATAAAATTATGTTCTTGATAATACATTTTTACATCTGTATACATAAATAAAGTTAAAAACTTTGATAAATAAAAATGAATCGTCTTCTCGTTTTTTTGGTACAATGTTTTACACCCTGTATATATAAATATAATTAATAATAATATTATTAAATCATCAGAAATGAACCGTCATCACTACGCGCTGTTCGTCCGTAACTGTCGCCTGATTCTTCTTCTGAGGCGTGACTTCGGTGAAGGAGACTTGAACATCTTCAGACCAGCTGAGTGGAGGTGGAAGTTACCTGAGGTATATAACTATTTAGAGCAAATTGAACCTTACTGCTGTTACTATAAAATAGAAATTTAATTGATAAAAATATCGTAGAGGTTTGTATAGGCTATAGTAGAATATAAAGTATCACATTATCTTATAAGGTAATCAACCAGTAAGAAAGTGAATTAAATAGGTATTTGTGTTTAATTCAATAGTTCAAATTCAATAGTTCAGTTTCAATGGTATATTCAGAAATAATACTTATGCTATACAGAGGAGTAAAGAGTTTATTAATATCTAAATAAGGACAATTTTGGGCTCAAATATAGGTATGTAGACTTTTAGTTTCCAAAAAAAAATTTAAGATGAAATTCTTCCCAATCCCAAAAACTTTCCTTAACTCATAAAAAATATAATATAATATAAAATATTATATAAAAACCAAACTATTTTCAGGTGTGCGACAACGAGTGGCATCACTACGCCATCAATATTCGTTTCCCCAACGTCGAGCTGTACGTGGACGGCGAGCCTTACAGAGCAGAGAGAGGCCCGGAGGTGATCGATGACTGGCCGCTACACCCCGCTCATGGGGTTAACACTACTATGGTGGTTGGGGCTTGTTGGCAGGGTGAGGGAAATGATACTATTAATATATGTATATTGTTAAATAATTATTAAACTGGCAACCCTCAAGCCACCTATGTAAGGAGCGCCATTACTGACAATCGGACACTTTTTGTTCTCAACTATTGTCAACAGAAGAACCTCTGCTCTAATTAGTGTTGAATATTAATTAATTGACCCTTGGCCGGTGACCGTTTGTTTTTAAAAATCATAAAGTGTTTTTCATTTCTAACAATATATATACTAGAAGACCCGGCGAACTTCGTATCGCCCTATAATCAAGAAATATCTGTTACGTTTCTTTATTTATATTTTTGGAGTTTACCTATTAAAGCCATAAATCTCCGTGTTTTGAAGTGCGACAGAATGATTGACATATTAGTTAGTTGTCAAATCTAATGTAAAAAAAAAAGTTTGTATCAACTATCTACTATCCAATGGTAGCTACGCGGATTTGCACTATCTTCGACAATAAATTGTTTTATGCGACCCTTGCTCAAAGCATATATCGCATATATCAATTAATATATCTATATTTCTTTATTAATAGTGTAATCTATATGTATATTATTACCTTTTGTTTCAGGTACTGAAAGTGATATGAAACATCATCTTCGCGGTTGGCTCGCGGGTCTAGGAGCATTACCGGGGTCTGTTCAGCCCGCCACGGCCTTGAGGTGTGCGGCACGATGTAGAGAGGGACTCAGTCTGGCGCCTGATCTATGTATGTACACACACACACACACACACACAGAGATATATAAACATATATTACATACAGACACATTTAAAGAGGAATATGAGCACACTTGGAAATATTTCAAAGTTTATGTAGATATATCAATTATACAAACACAGACGTATACATAATATGTATAGGGATGTATATACATATTATGTTTATGGAATAAGACGACTGTAAACTCAGATAAATATAATAATATACACAAAATTTATAAATACTAGCAAATATTTCGTCGAACATTTATTAACTAAGAAATCTAACCAGGCATCAATTTCTTTTAAAGCAATAAATCTGAAATATATTAAACTAGCTTGCGCCCCGGGGATTTCCGGGATTTCAGGGATGTAAAGTAGCCTATGTGTTATTCCTGGACATCAGCTTCCTGTATACAAAATTATATCAAAATCGGTTCAGCCGTTTGAGCGTGAAGAAGTAACTCTCACAAACTTTTACAATTATAATATTATGTAGTAGGATGTTTGCATACAAAAGATTTTCTATTTAAGGTCACATACACAGTAAATCTGAATGTATATATAATATATTGTTACAGATTTTAGATAAAATTTGTTTTTGTATTACCGTGATTGTTATTATTTAAGTTTTAGTATGTGAAACTTATTATGTAAAGTATAGTATATTTTGTAACTGCTGTCTCGTAGTACTTACCGCTGATTGCATAAGGGAAGAGCGGGGCCTCCTACTACAAGTATTGATATTGACTTAAAAGGGGGTACCCAAAGATGTATAAACAAGTGTACTAATTTGAATGAAATAAATTATTTTTATTTTATTTTTATTTATTTTAGATCTGAAGTCAGTGTCTGTGGAGGGAGACAGCGCGTCGGAGGTAGAGACGCTAGTGAGGCGCGTGTCGTACGGAGACGCGAGGGTGTTCCCTACACCTGGCAGGAGGAACGTGCATCTGGCTACTACCATCACGTGAGATATACTACTACTACTATCATTACTAGTATCACGTGATATTCAAACACTTCTACTAAAAATACTATTGCCAGTATCAAAGACTGTTTAAAAAGAGAATAGAACTATGTTTGAACATTGGTAGTTGATTACAATTAGTGCGGACCATTGCAGAATATACAAAAGAACCTTCAAGAATTATAGGGACATGCAAAAGAATTGAAGTTTAATTTTAAAATAACATGGAACGTACTGAAATAAGTGACTTTAGTGACGTCAGCGATGCTAGCGTCTCTTTAAAAAACAACAAGTTTGTATTAAATCCGATGTATCGTTTGGACAAATATTTATATTATCACAAATTTTAGTCGCCTTCTATGTGTGTAAAAAGTAAAAAAATAGTTTTACTCAGTCTGCTGTTAACAATAACAATATATATTTGATGTACTTGTAACTTCGCATTTTTATTAACGCACATGATATAATATCCTAAGATAGGTCCGAAAATAATGCGACAACAAAAATGTTATTTGCAATCCATACATTATTTTCTTTGTCTTCCGTCAACAATAATAGTATGGAACGGAGAATAAATAAAATCAAAAAAGTTATGTTATGATATATTTATGTATTTATTTTTGTTTTATCAGAAAATAAATCAAAAAAATGTTTACACCATAAGATCATCTAAGACAGATTCTAAAATGATTATCTTAAGAACTATTCGTTCTCAAATATCTCGTGTGCGTCATCATTGACAAATCAGTATTACTTACTACAAGATTTATTAACGCTAAGTCTACACAAAAAAATAAAATCTAAATCATATCATACTAAATCTTTAATATATATATATATATATATATATATATATATATATATATATATATATATATATATATATATCAATACATTTGTATAGTACAGTTTAAGCCGAATTCGTTAATATCAATTCTAGTTATTAACATATGTTTTATATACAGTTGTGACAATGGGCGTGTGATCAAAGCCCGCCCGGCCGAGTCGTACGTGATGGTGCTCGCTCCGCAGACGCCCACCATCCTACTGAACGGCAGTGCGGATGCTGCTCGCGACTACGCACACTTCCGGGCAGGCCTGCCGGTGTTCCCTGACATAAGGGTGAGAGTGCTGGCCAGGAGTGGGGATGACATCAAAGGTAAATGACCTCTTATATTAAATATCTTAATGATATCGAAGATTTTAGTATTCATTTAAATGAAACTAATATTTTCGTGTTACTATACTACAAGACTAAGTAACAGATATTCATATCTCGTCTGTCCGTGATTACAGTTGCTGAAAAGTAAGCGAAACGTCGGGAGTATGTACATAGTTAAAATAATAAAATACGCTTAGTATATGAAAATATAAGTTTCATTAAATATCTTATTTTTAAATAATATCCCAAATTGAAGATCTCTTCTTTGTTACTATACAAATAGGATATAGACAAATATCATTCGTCGTCGTGGTGGCCTAGTGGTTAAAGTCACGCCTCTCATGCATGAGGGTGCGGGTTCCAAACCTGGCATGTACGAATGATTTTTCCGAGTCATACGAATGATTTTCCGAGTCTAAGAGTATTTAAACATCACTGACAGACGGTGAAGGAAAACATCGTGAGGAAACCTTTAATTAAAATTTCACAATTATAAGTTTGAAATCACCAACGCGTCATAAGCAAGCGTGGTGATTAATACTCAAATCTTCTCCATATGAGAACACGTTTTTGCTCAGTAGTGGGCTCTGATAGGCTGATGATAATGATGATAATATAAAATGATGATGATTTATACTATTTTTTGTATAGAAGCCGAAACTCAGAAGCTCGATTCGTGCGTGGTGTCCGTATACCCGGCCTTGAACCCCGACCACGAGGCCCTCGCGCTGAGGAGCTCCCCCGCTGATGATATACGGGCGACACTCACCAGGGACGGAGTGAGTCTCACGGGGGCTGACACCGTGGACAACTACCAACAGGTACATACACACACACACACACACACACACATACACACACACACACACACGTACATACACGCATACACACGCATATTATAATCGAGTTGTAAAATAAAACATTGCTATGTTCGAGATACAGAGGTAAAATTGAATTTTTCGAGTAGATAAAATATCTACCAAAAGGACTTGGAGAGACTCTCTATTTCGACTCATAGAGGGCTGAGATTTCGAGAAACGGAGGTTTTGGTGTTTTAAGGGAATGAAACAAAACATTTTTTTCGAGATTTCGAGGTTTTCGAGTTAACGAGGTTTTATGTGTTATACAGGTGTTGAGGGAGATAGAGTACAGCAACAAGAAGCCGGCCTACTACCTCAACAGGGTGTTCAAACTGACGTGCTCCGAACTGAACGGACGGTTCACGAGCAACGAATACGTGCAGACGGTCAGTGACAGACACACATACATATAGTATATAGTATATATCAACAAGTTTGATATAAGAATTTATACGCTTACACCTAGTTTTGTGTTTTAAACTCAATAAAAATAGTTGAAAGTACGTCTTTGAATCTAAGTAGATACACATATTAAGATCTATCAATAAGAAAGTAATAATATGTGTAAGTCGTTGTACGATAAAACTCGTATTAAGTTCATACCACCAATCTTCTGTTAGTAAAATAGTATATTTTTGAGTAAAGAAAATATTGTGTTGATTTTTGTACCAATATAAAGTTCACCAAACTTACCATAATACAAAACACACACCCCTTTGTAGGTGTTGATAAAAATATACATATTTCAAATGTCTTTCAAGTATGAACCAAATGTATTATAAAATATAATATTTAATTCATATATTTTATGATTATTTAGCTATGTTTCTTAAATAATAAGTAAAAATACATCATTCAAATTTTCTGACATTGTAAGCTAAAAAGTTATACTTATATGAAATAACTAAATATACATATATTATATTAATTTCATTGTATATGTTTAGTTGACGGTGGAGCACCCTCGCGCGGCGTCCGACACCCGGGCGCTTCGCCCCTCGGGACTGGCTGACAAGATGGACGTCGTTAGAGAACATGTAAGTTAACACGAGCCTAGCCAACGAGACAAGATAATATATATAAACAACTACCATACCATTGAATATGATTAGTTTTTTGGTTGGTTGGTTGTTTAAAATATGGCCTTCATCCGTGAAAAAACATGCACAGTATATTCTTCCAGTATTACTCATTTTTTTAAGAGTAATTTCTGTAATTTTACTCTTAATCATTCTTACAAAGCTCAATTCCCAAAAAGCAATGAGATTTCATTTTTTTTATATCAAGTTTTATAATCCTAACACCCTGTATAAACAGTTGAATTACTGTCTATATCTAAATGCATTTAAATAATTTTAATTTATTATACAAACACATGAAATGAAAGTAATTTATACATATAATAATTACAGACCAGCAACAACATAGAGCCGGCCGTAGCAATGAGTGTACCGCGAGCGTTCGCAGCACACTCACAGCACTCGCAACATTCGGCGGAGTTACCGGCGGCGCGGACACTGGACATACACGATAGACACAGCTCTAGTTAGTATACACACACACATACTCTATGAATTCTTGTGATCCTACAAAAATGTCCTTTTCTTTGATAATAATGTTGTGATTTAAAACATAGATGTCGCTACTATGTTTGTATCTACAATTCTATGTAACTTTAAAGCATCTTGACATACAATTATAATAATTGATATGATTTTCAAATTTTTAAATAATCAACGTTTCTTGCTAATCACTGTAATTTCTTTGCTATCTATATAATATATATATCTCCACAGATAACGTAGCAGTGGTAATAGGCGCGGTGATGGCGGGCGCGGTGGTAGCTCTAGTAATAGTAGTGGCAGCCCGTGTGAGAGGCGCCCGGCCCGCCGCGCGCGCCCGGCCAGTAAGACCTCACGACTCTGAAATGGCTTGGGATGATTCCGCGCTCACTATCACTGTTAATCCGATGGAGGAGGTATGAAAACATGAATAATTACGAATATCTCAATATATATATATATATATATATATATAAATAATACTAGTTTTTGCTCGATACTTCGCCCGCGTGGAGTTCGGTTATATCGCGTTCCCAAGAGAACCTTTCAAAAGTCTGCGATAAAACTATCCTATGTTCTTTCTCAAGGTCAACTCTATCTCTGTACCAAAACTTCATTAAAATCAGTTTAGTGGTTTAGGCGTGAAAGCGTAACAAACAGACAGAGTTACTTTCGCATTTATAATATTAGTAGGGATACTACTTTTTGCTAGCCACTTCATCTGCGTTAGTTTCAGAAATAGAGATGTATAGCTAACCGCGCCATCTCTATAACTTATTTAACTTATTAAAGACAGTAGATAAAAAAGATTTTGGATTTGATCGATTTTCTTTTCTTTTTCAATTCGTTGAAAAGTATTCTATGTCGTTTAAATAGTTCTAAGCTATCCCTCCATCAAATCTCAACCAAATCCATACAACCGTTCAAAACCAAAGATATATAAGTACATAATATAATCTCGTGATTATTTTTAACACTTTCATACTACACTTGGACTTTTTCCTTTGGGGATATCTCAAAAGTAAAGTTTTTAATAACAATCCTCAATCTATTGAAGAATTTAAAGAAAATAATGTTACCGGACTTTTGGTCCACCCTGTATGTTTAATTTCATATACATAATATTCTCGTTATTTCCAGGCCACTGAGTGCGTCGTATCTCCAAACCGCGTATGCGGAGACAGCTCTTCGGCAGAGTCCTGCTCTGATGAAGACTCCGATCATCATGACTCCTCTGATGAAGAGGGAGAGGGTTAGTAGCTTATAATAGATCATTAGAAGGAAAATGAGCTTTAATGTCTTAGGAATAAGATTTAAATTAGTACAAACATCTCATACTGGTTTAAAAATAAAATTTCATTATTATGAGATTTACGTCAAACGTAAAATTAGCTTTAAGTGCTTATGAATAAGATATAAATTAGAACAAACAATGAAGGTGAGGTGGAATTTCACTACAATTTCACGTTATTAATAATAGTATGGAAAAATGCAAATACTTATTCAAATACAAAACGCAATGTCAAATACGAATGATATATCCTCTTCTTTAACAATGATAATAATAATTACTGTTTTCTTATATGAAACTATGTATATATTATCTCCAACTACCCTTATGTTTTACATATATATATTTATATTTCCCAGTGATGGCCGGCAAGCAGCACAAGTACAGGAACATCAGCCAGCTAGAGTGGGACAACAGCACCATGTAAATGTATACCTGTCCCGCTCGCTCCTAACACGCACGTCTCCCCTCTCGCTCGCACACACCACGCACTATACCGATGTTGGCGCCTCGTCAATGTAAATTCGACCTTAGTACACGTATTTATAAGTATCAAAATTATTTTTAAATATCTTATCAGACGGAATTGATGTATTCGTTACGGTTTCGGTAATTCGTTTATATTCGGACAGCGCACGTGGGGTTAAAGTTAAGTCTCAAAATAAAATCATATCAAATTTATACGTAAATGTTCCCAGCGTGAACTATTACGAATTACGTGTATTCGTTTTCTCCGAGTATTTGTATCTATGTATCAAACGGTAGCGTGTCTGTTAAGTTAGTTTAAGATAACAATGTATTGTATATTATAAGTAAGCTTCGTGATTTCCTCTTTGTTTCGTCTCCGCCATTTTCTTTATTATCTATATATCACTCCGTAGTTAATGTTACTGTGAAATGTCCACTTTTACCCTTAACGAGCTTCTCAAAATAAATCGGCTTAAATGTATATTAGGCACAGAGTTATTTGAAAAAAAAATATAGATGTACTATACTATACACTTATACAGAACTTGTAGTATCTGCTGTATAACTATATATGATATATATATATATATATATATATATATATATATATATATATATATATATATATATATATATATATATATATATATTGAACGCGTTAAGGGATTTTTACTAACAGTTAGGTACTAAGTGGCTATATGTTTGTTTCCGACGCCATCTAGCGTAAGTGTAGTTAAGTCCGGGCGTGTGTTGCCGTCTCGCTCGCACACACGCGCCACGCTACTTCTGTCTCCCTCTGGCATCATATCAGGATCGGCTGTTAGGATCTTTGAACACTGAGCAATCTTTTTCGACATAATCATCGGTGTAATTACGTAGAGGTCAAGTGTTGTATGTTATTTCTATCGGAGTTGGACCTTTGTGTTATGATTTGTTTTGTTGGAATCGTTTGTTGGGCGTGTCGCTTTAATGTTGCTTGTATATTATTATACGAAATTCAACTTTTTGTTTATCAAGATAAGGTTTATATTGCATTGTATTATCCTAAATTTTACAGCGACACGTTAGCGGTGCGAGTCTGTATGTTTTCGTTCCGTTTGTATTCGTGCCATTATTTTCTCCCATACATATGCCGTGCCCAGGACTCGCTCGTGTTTTTTATTCGGTTGAGTTTTTTATTCCACTCGACTACCGTCCAAACGCCATTATCCCTTTTTAATTTAGATTTAAGATCTGAGCTGTAATAAAATCGGCTCGAGCACAAAATGCTGGCATTTTTTTTTGATTGTGTTTTGAACATGAGGTAGCTACTATAAGTTTTAATCTATTTCATTTTATATAATTTTTGTATTTTCGGTATTATTGTATACTTAGATAAACTTCATTGATGTATGAATTATTATATTTTAGCTAAAAATAAAGTTGGTTTAAAATGTATCTATTGGTGTTTCATTTCACTTGTCCCGTAGATTAGATGAAAATAATTATAAGTTTATTTATGTAATGGAGTGTAATATGAGAAAGTGTTGCAAATAATCTAGTTTATTTGCCAAAATGAAACTATTCTCTTTTATTTTGCATTTGCAAATTGAAATTGAATACAAAGTATCATGTACAGTGAACAAAAACATATTACATTATTATTTATAGTATCAGCGTTTATGAAAGTTATCTCTTGAAGAATGTGCCATCAATTTATCCTGATCGTTACATGATGTTTTGATCCAAATTTATTATTAACTCACACGATATAACATATGTGTATTATATTATATCGTGTGATATTAATCCTGCGATAAAACCAACAATAACTACAAGTGAATGTTATGCACAATGTTACAGTCCTTTAGACTTAAGCTGAGCTTTGCATTTGTGTGAATGAAAGTAAAAGTTAGACAAATTTTAAATTTAAGTTTATTATGTTTTAAATAGATTCAAAATAAAATAATACTATGCAAATTCTTCTTCACTTGACATTGCGTAGTCAACATTTGGCATTGCTACCAGTACAAAGGGTGAAGTACGGAAGGTGCGGGGCGGAGAAAAGCAGAATAAACCGGTTCAAAACTAGAAAAGAACGTGGCATTCAAAAATTTGGCATCACACCTACACTATCCGTGTGCACTCACACAAATGCAAAGCTCAGCTTAAATCAAACGCACTATAACAATCTTTTTCTTCAACGAAAGGTTGAGAACCTGTTACTTTGCTGTATTGAAATTACATATATGTATTTTGGACATTGATAAATTAATAGCTATACTATGAGGAGCGTTAGGAAGTTATTTTACACTAAGAAGGAAATTTGATTAAACAAAAAAAGATAATTCTAAAACATTTACTATCATTTATGATCCAGAAAGAAAATGGAGGTCCATATTAATAATTTTAACTTGGGAATAGTAATGAGGAATATAACTGTAGATACAAAAATCTCTAGTATGCGTATGCTGTTTGTAATTTTAAAACAGGAAGGCGTCTTAAACTGCTATTACTATACTGTTTCAGACATATCTTATATCTTTAAATGAGCAATTCTTGTATATACATATAGGTAATTGTAATCTTGGAATCGGCCCCAACGATTTTCATGAAATTTATTATGTAGTATATAGGGGGTTTTGTGTCATGTTAACATGTTTACTTAAAAATGCCTAAACCAAATACAAAAAAAAAACACGAAATAAATTCTAATAATTCCTAAATACTATACAGTTTGACTGGTGAATTACTATTGATACTTGAGGACGTGATATTTGACGATCATATATGACAAAATAAAAATTAATATAACATAAATATTAATAAACTTCTAAGTAAAGTTAACCAAAAGTTTTGTAATTAATTACGCATCGTGTGAACACCCTGCAGATTAGGTATACACACACACACACACACAAACGCGTGCGGCGGCGTGGTGTTGTATCAGCACGCCGCCGCACGCGTCCACACTTGGAACACTTGGAACGTGTCCACACTTTATTTATTTATACGGAAATTTGGTCAAAAATTAAGTACCTATTTTTTTTACATAATTCGAATGAGAATCATGTACCGAGTATTCTCCTTAAATATTGATAGTAATTCACCAGTCACCCTGTATAAATATTTTACATAATATAACATTTTATTGATAGACCCAGAACTGTTAAATGACGAGCAATGGAATTAGGAATTATTAGACCAGTGCCGATAGCTTTTAAAACATAATTAAATGATAGTAGAAAGAAACTCGTTAGAAAAGGATGGAAGTATTATAAATATTAAAGGAAAAATAATTTACGGGCGATCTGAGGTGGGAAGGGTATGAGGGTGGGTATTTAAGGGTTTAAGGGTGAGTGCGCCACAGTGCCACTGTTAACATCGTAGTCCTAGTTATAATCAATTTTAAAATAATTAAGTGCGGAAAAGATATAAAAATCAGTTACATTTCATAACCAGTGCAAAGACTTAAGTGTAAAATATGCAGTACATCAGTTTTACCGAGTGAAACCATCGAAAAGTGCAAATCAATGACTCACGATAAAAACCAGTAAAAACTAACTCAAGAGTGAAATAAAGGAAACAATAAGTGCATGATACGTTTGTTGACAGTGCAAGTGAACTTTCCAACCCGAACAAAGCATCTAATGGTGACAAACAATAAAAACAACACTAGCTATAACCTAAAAAATGAAATGTAATTATCCACAATTCGGCCTACGTCATTCCAAAGTACAGCAACGCCATCTATTGCAAATGGTCAAAATTAACCTATCCACCCGATAACAGTTCGAAGTGACAATTTACGTATACTAGATACCGCCATCCAGCGGAAACAGCGGGCATCACAGGCTTGATACTTACCACCGCCACCTAGTGAAGTTACCCAACAGCGTTTGCTATACATTACATTCAGCGCAAGTTTGATCTATCTAAAGGAACTACAGTACGACAAAATACTAATAGGGGGCGCTAGGAGTCACATCCGCAACACTATGGAGGAAATTAAAAGCATGTTGATGAATATGCAACAAGACCTTAAACAGCATAAACAAGACATGGCAGACATGAAGGAAGACATAAAAAAAACACTATTAACAGCAATATTAATGAAAAGTTTAAAAGCCTTGAATTAAAAAATGAATTTTTGGAAACAAAGATAGAAGAACAGAATAAAAAAATAAATATCTTGGAACGGCATATCAGACGCAAGAATTTAGTATTGTTCGGAGTCGAAGACAAAGAAAAATCGTATGAAGAATTAGTAAACTCAATCATAAAAATATTAAATATGTATTTTATAGCCGCATGCGATAATAACAACATCGAAGCTGTCAGAAGAGTAGGAAAGAAAGGCGAAAAACCTAGGCCGGTTATAATAACGTTTACTACTATGGACCTCAAAATCAAGATTCAAAAAAATAAAAAATCTCTACAAAACACACAATACTATATTAAGGAAGATTATCCCATAGAAATCCTCAACAAGCGCAGAGAACTACAAGCCCAACTGCAAAAAGAAAAGGAAGCTGGCAATACTGCTTTCATCAAATACGATAAACTTATCGTGCTGCAGAATAATAAGAACTCTACGAACAACCAGCTAAACAAGAGGAATTTGTCGGAATCACCAGAGATCAGCCATAGTAGACAACCCGTTAGTGGCGTCACTAGACAACTGTCGAAGAAAAACAAACTATCTAACATGAAAGATTACGTAATACAAAAACCAAAACTTGTACTCACTCAGACGGACATCAGTAATAACTATTCGGAGACAACATCACATAGTAACATCGTATAGCAACTACAGCTGGACCCTCTACTCGCCTCCAATCTCCCAACACGGCTGGTCACCGCGGGAGAATACGACCAAAACCCTCCAAGGAAAGCAAGAAATATAACCAAATACTACATTTGCACCTTCAATGTTCGATCGCTCTCGTCTGCAACAAAACTGATAGAGTTAAAAGCAGC